CAGCCCACTCCCTCCAGAAAACTTGCATGGGGGTTGGTGATCCGCATAACTATGGAAAAAAAAACTTTTTCTTTCAAGAATTCCTTTAAACGTTAAAAAATTATCTTAAAAACATAAATATAGCTATTTATCATTCATCGTAAAATAATATTATTGCTATTATTATTGCGCACTCAGACAACCTTGCATTGTTTTACGAAAAAAAAATTCGTCACGTTCAACCAGCATCCCAGAACGGAGAGCTTTTGGTTATAATTGTGTAAACGGTCACTAAAACAAATGGGAAAAGCTGCTGAGAGAGCTTTTAGCTGGCTCTGGACGCAATGCCACGTCGTGGGGGATGAGTCTCGGTAGATCAAAAACGCAGAGAAGAAAATATAGGGTATTTTTTTCAATGGGGGGGGGGGGAGAGGTGAGCTGCGTGTGAAAGAAACGATAAAATAAAGTGGCGTGAGCTGGTTGAGGGCCAATGTTCCATTGGAGGATAAACGGCTTCAGGTTATTCTCGTGACTAGGTTATGTGTGCCAAACACTGTCCCACTGATACCAGGTTGCAGCCCAGTGTCGTGATCGATGGTTAAAACATAACGTAACACTGATGATTCTGTACATTGTTGTAGTAAGTCTGACGGGTTTCTCATGAAGGGTTAACTCTTTCAGTAACGAACAACGCGTACTGCGTTTTCAGTGAAGAGTACGTGGTTTGCTTTTGTAAACTGATTATGCCTCTCCTATTTTCTAAATTAGCCCTTTCTGTTCTTATTTGTTACAGTCATTGTCTTCTATAATGTTATTATCTGAACGTGTTCAGAGTCATGCATATTTGAGTAACAAGTGTTTAGAATTTAAGGAGTTAAAATAATTTCTATCTGGGACTGCAAAAGTTAAGGGCAAGGCTGTAGAGAAGCCAAATGAAGTCTTTAGACTTTGGTACTTTCAGAGTGCAACCGCAAGTCTGAGGAAAGAGACGAAAGCTATCATGGATCTTTGAAAATATATTAAACCAGACGGAAAGTAGAGCTAGTTACCTTCACATTATCGAAATAACAAACAGGTAAACGTTTACCGCTAGAAAGCCTTCATCGGCACATTAAATTAACAGACCACATGTAGGAAGAAGCATGGACAGAGCAGATATCATCACCACTGTACGGATTGGGCTTGTGAATAATGACAAATTTATGACACTAGCACGATTGCGTGACATTAGAGTAAAGCATTTTGAAGCATGAAGTTAAGATGGGAGACATTATAACTAACCTCTTATGGAAACAATCAGTAGAAATACCTTGGCGTAGTTGCTGCATCGGAGGACTGAGCACGGATGGGAATGCCCAATGAGCAGTGACGTCGATTGTGATAACATAACATAAATAAACTGGCACTGTTACAGATATGAACAAGAATACATGAAATCGCTTAACCTGATGTATACCCGAAAGAAATCGATGTGTCTTTGGTAAAGGTAAAGGTGAGAGGGTCGACTTCCCTGCACCAGGTGTGAATCCATATGGCTCAGTCTTTCTCTGCAGAACAGCTAGCTGCCTACCGATAGCATCGCACAGATCACGACCACTGTAGCTCCGGTGATGATCCCCAGTGATCTCCGTAAAAATTGCACTTGTGAACTGAGCGACGCCGCTGTAAAACGAACCCACGATCTTCAGAACGCGAGGAAAACGGCTTGACCACTTCGCCCTACGTCTTCCAAGGTAAAGCCAACCTTTATATTGGTGACGGCACTTTAAAAAAATGCTTTTAACAATCAACTTGTAAAAAAAAAATCATGTTGTAATATCCCGCCAGTAAACTATCCACTTTATTCTTCAGATGGCATTGAAATCTCTGCGAGCTATTCTCCAAACGTTTTCATGGAACGACTCATCGACATGGAAGCTCTAGAAACACCGATGTATGTCACCAACAACCAACAAAGCTTGGACTTTGTCTGGCCTCGTCTCTCAGGTCTGGACATTGCCGTCAGCGTGACTGGCGTCTTCCTAGTGCCTGACTATCGGGACATTGAAGCAGTGGATGATACCGCACTGTTTCACAAGTTGCTGGAGCCTAGTCAGAATACAAAAGATTATTACAATTATGTGCAGAATTACTACTGCAGGTGAGATTGGTTTGAAATACATTGAAGTTTACTAATTAGTTAGTCTTCCCTCTTGGACCACGGGTGGCGCATAGGACAGAGGTCATAGCTCTCCATGTCTGGCGGTTCGTTGCCACCTGTTTTAGGTTTTAGATGTTAGTTAGGTCCATGATTGAGCCTTCCCTTATGATGTTTTTACACAGGGTCTCTCTTGGTCTTGTCTTTTCCCTTCCAGTGTCCATATGAGGGCTTGATGGCGGTATCTTGTTTTATTCATTCTGTTTGCATGGCTTAGTTCCAGAGGTGCTTTCTTATAAACCCGGATAAATCATCTTGCTTGGTCTCTAGTATTATTTGCCTACTGGATCTTAAATCTGTCCAGTGGAGATTTAATATATATTGGAGTGCTGGTGGAAATATTTAATCATCTGTTCTTGTCAACAATGAGAGGGGTTAGAGTAGAACTCACTGCTACTGCGACTGCCTCCACTTCCAACTAGATGTTGTATCGCATCTGTATCCTAAGCTTTGAAGCACTAAGCTACGTTCGTTCAAGTTAATTTTTGGTAGTTAGCTTTTTCAAATGAAAGCAAACAGTGTTAGGTTTTTTTATAGTCTGTAGCTTGTGAAAACAAACGTGTTCTGATATTCTGTATTCAGCTATCTTATAGTTTTCTGAAACTGAATATTATGTTTTCTTGTCAAAGCAAAAATCTGGGGTATTCGGTAGTCGACCATCTCGTCAAAACAAAAATCTGGGGTATTCGTTAGTCGACCATCTCGTCAAAACAAAAATATGGGGTATTCGTTAGTCGACCATCTCGTCAAAACAAAAATCTGGGGTATTCGGTAGTCGACCATCTCGTCAAAACAGAAGATTTTGGTAAACTTTTGTCTGTCATCTTGTCAAACAAAATCAGATGATATTTTGTTGTCTTCTGACATTTCAAAACATTATTGTGTGATTCTTGAGTCTCTTAGCTTACCAAAAAGCGTATGATATGCTATATTCTTATATTCTTGTAAAATTGTAAGACATAATGTAGTCATTTAGCTAGTCATGCAGGTATATAATGTGGATCGCTAACTTGTAAAACTATGTGTAGTATTTTATAGTCTGCCATCTTATCAAAAGTGACCTTTTAGACAATGCTAGCGAGTCTACAATATAAAATACTGTCTAGTCCAGTGATTCCCAAACTGCGCCGCAGCGCCCCGGGTACCCACAGCCTCTTCACAGGGTTGCCGCAAAAGATTTGAAGATACACACCTTTTTTTTTTGTTTTTTTTTTGTTTAATCTCTTACATAGGAATAGTCATACTTTTACTTAGGTTAGGGCGCCGTAGAAAATTTTCAATTGAAAAAAGATGCTGCGACTTAGAAAATTTTGGGAAACACTGGTAGACTCTACTTTGCTGCCCAAAGTGTACAGTAATTTGTATTCCGCTATCTTCTCCCTGTGGGTTCCAGGACCCCATTGTTTGGGTTGGAGTTGTGTGTGTGGTGGGGGGGGGGGGAACTGACCCACTGTCTCCTGCCAAGCATGTTTTAACAAGCAACTAATGAGGAATATTACCTTTAAGTTGGAGTGCATCTGCCTGGGAGAAGAGGGACCAATCCTCCCACACACACAAAAACACACATTCACACACACACACAAATAAATATAACTGTAGACCTCTAAAGAGAAGAAGAAGAAGAAGAAGGAGGAGAAGAAGAAGAAGAAGAAGAAGAAGAAGAAGAAGAAGAAGAAGAAGAAGAAGAGACAGTTTGTGACATTCTATATACATGACACCCCATTGCTTGGGCAGATGGCAGAAACCACCCATAAAGAAGGCACCGGCTAAATTATTGGAATGATGCAGTGGGGGGGGGGGGTCTGCGGGCTCTGTTGGGTGCCAGTCAAGAAAGGCAAGACAAGTAGTTAACCAGATGACAACAGGCAGTGGTATAGCAAGGTCAGATGGTACTCAATGCAGACAATTGCCTTTCACCCCGCCCCCCTACACACACACACACACACACACACACACAAATACACACACAATTTGTTATATTAAAAACACGTATACTGACCACTGCGTTACCCGGTCGGGTGATGACAGCCCGGACGGCCTGTACACCTCGCATGCCCTATCCTATGTCACTGACAGCAGGTATCATCAGTCTATAACCCCTTCGCTGGCTGCTGAGGAGGGAGACAGAGCTACTATGGGCTTGTCCCAAATGCTTTGATGTTGAATCGTTACTCAGATGAGCTCTCATTTCTGTCACACCCGCCCACCCCCACACACACAAATGCCTGCACGCACACACGTATAAACACACACCCGTACACCCCCCCCCCCCCCATCCAAGTACACACACACACATTAATATAGGATTCGTTGTCCATTGAGAACTTCAGACTTTGTCCAAACATAAGGAGGTCACAGGGTGAAAGGTCGGGACTGGAGGCCAGGTGTACCTGCAAGCTCTCAATGGCTTACAGTGATTTCATATCATGTCTATACATGTTATCTTTTTCTGCTTTCATAGCACACAAAAAATCCCAGTGTGTGTTCTGGGACCCCGTTGTGGGGGGAAACAAGAATAGACCCACTGCCTCCACAACTAGCAATCCTTTGAATTCAGAGTACATCTGCCTAAGAGGCAAGGAACCAACAATCTGCATACAATTAAGGCAGATCTGTTAAACGGATGTGCGCACAACAGTCAGGTTCTGGAACGTGACTAAAGTCGGAAGGTGGACGAACAGAGTTTACAGCTGGTGAACACAAAGAAGAAGAAAAAGAAGAAGAAGAAAGAAAGAAAAAAATATATATTGTACCATACGATGGAAACAATGCAAAAGACATTAAAGAATGTGAATCTATAATTGTATTCATTTGTTCTGCCCAGGCATCCTGTCCCTGACTATTACTCACTGCAGCTGGAGGTCATCGCCAACAGGACATCAGCTGCCCAGGTGATCAGGTGTGACTCACAAGATGACACGGTGCCTAGATGCCCGAGTCATTACAAAGACGGTGACAGATATTTGAAATGGAACATCAATACCCCATGTCCAAGTTTACCTGTGAGTTCAATTACTGTTATTATTATTTTTATTATTAATACATAATTTTGTTAATAATATTCTCTCTAGGGTATATTCTCATCACTGGTGCAAATCTCTTGCTGCCATTAGTCAGTGATGAATTAGATAGTCACTTATATCAACCTCTTATATCAACCTCTTATATCAACCTCTTATATCAACCTCTTATAACAACCTCTTATATCAACCTCTTATATCAACCTCTTATATCAACCTCTTATATCAACCTCTTATATCAACCTCTTATACCAACCTCTTATATCAACCTCTTATACCAACCTCTTATACCAACCTCTTATATCAACCTCTTATATCAAGCTCTTATATCAACCTCTTATATCAACCTCTTATATCAACCTCTTATACCAACCTCTTATATCAACCTCTTATATCAACCTCTTATATCAACCTCTTATACCAACCTCTTATATCAACCTCTTATACCAACCTCTTATACCAACCTCTTATATCAACCTCTTATACCAACCTCTTATATCAACCTCTTATATCAACCTTTTATATCAACCTCTTATATCAACCTCTTATATCAACCTTTTATATCAACCTCTTATACCAACCTCTTATATCAACCTCTTATACCAACCTCTTATACCAACCTCTTATACCAACCTCTTATACCAACCTCTTATATCAACCTCTTATATCAACCTCTTATATCAACCTCTTATACCAACCTCTTATATCAACCTCTTATAGCAACCTCTTATATCAACCTCTTAAACCAACCTCTTATACCAACCTCTTATACCAACCTCTTATATCAACCTCTTATATCAACCTCTTATATCAACCTCTTATACCATCCTCTTATATCAAGCTCTTATAACAGCCTCTTATGCCAACCTCTTATATAAATCCAGAGATCCCAGGTGGTGAGAGTCAAATGGATATTTTACCTGGGCCTTCCATTGTGTTTGGGAATTAACAGGCAGATAGGTTAGCCTGACTGGCTCCACTTGAGTGGGGGGGGGGGGATGTGAAGTGCACTGCAGTGCACAATGTGTGCAATTTTGGAAGAGAAGAACTAGCTACTCTACCCTGTCATGTGATTAGGCATAACTTGTTGGTGGCTTACCTAAACTCTTCCCCAGCCGTTGGTTTGAAGAAAACTGCTTGAAGGATACAGCTAACTATGTTAATCTATAGTAAAACAGGTTATATCATATCTGTAAGGTGCAAAATCGCTTGAGGTAACCTCGGATGTGGCGAATTTCTGTTGTGAAGAACAATTTGTTTATCTCTGGCAATTTTTGTTGTTGTTGCTTGAACTAACTAGATATAAGAGTTTCTGATAAGAAGGACCATTTCTTGGGTCCCCTTGAGATCTCCTTGTCAGGTCTGCACTGTATTACTATTTTATAGGGTTGAACATGATAATCTTTACCCATGTCCAAACCATTTGATCTGTTGTCTTCAGATGAAGTTTAGTACTGGTTCCATCACAGCTTTTTCCTGATATCATCATATCTGATTCTGTCTCTTCTAATTGCATATAGGATTCATTATAGACATTTCATTTCTGTTGTTTTGATTTTTATATATTTTTTTAAATTCTCATTAATATTATCCGTCGGCTCTGTGGCTAAGTCGATGCGAACGCTTCGCTTCGAAATGCCGGGATGCCGGGTTTGATCCCAGTTGCAGGCAATGCGCCTTGCATTGGTTTCGACAGTGGTATCAAGAAAGCCGACCGTCCAGAAGCAATGGCAAACTACTGGACGTAAATTTGCCAAGAGAAACCACACAACAGCCAGGGGCTGTTAGGGTTGGTTCTGCAACGTCCTGTAAAGGATACGCAACTAACTTTTTTTTTAAATATTATCCTTTCCCTGTGGAATTTTTATACCATCAAGTACTGAATTATTTAAAACTTGTCATAATTATTCACTGACCAATTTTTATTTTTCAAAACTTTGATTTGGCAGACAACAAAACTGACACCTTTGAAAGATGGTCCAAACAGCGTTGTTTGCACAGATGAGACTGAGATTCTACGCAAAGTTTTCCGTAGTGCTCGGCCTACAACACAAGAGTACATGTTTCCGTCTCGTGAGTGTGAGACACACAGACATCAGTGTGAGCAGTGCTTGAACTCAGCAACCTGTCCCGCACACACCTTCAACAATGACAGTGAGTCTAGAGAACTGTGTTATCTCTCTGTTGGGTTCTCTTTCTCCTCATGGCCTCAGTGTTCAGCACAGTTTCAACACAGAACTGGTGTTATTAGTCGCCACATGCTGAGGGATATACTAAAGATGTAATCTGAGCACTTACGCACTTATCCAGTGTGGGATAAGGATATTAGGTCAATTAACTGAGAATGCCCTGGTACTATCTGCCACAGTGAGCCACACTAAAACATCACATTGGGTATAGAGCGAGTGGAAGACCTCAGAAGATATGGATTGATGGCATTACAGAAATGAACATCAGTCTTAATAGTGCTCTTGACAGAGCTCATCAATGAACGCTACATCCCCCCCCCCCCCCCCCCCCCGGACACTTCGATGAGGTACAAGGTGGAAGAGAAGAAGAAGAAGAACTAACAGTTTCACCTAAAGATTTGTGTGTGTATTTGTGTGTGCATGAGTGTGTGCGTGCATGAGTGCATTCATGCGTGTGTGTGTTCCTTCACTCCTTTTTCTTAGCATTGACTGGCTGTTAACTCAGGCGGAAAGTTCCAGCTGATCATCAACTTTTGGATTTTTGTCTTGCTTCAGAACGTGTTTTGCTTGCACATCTGTTCTACAGCATATGTGTATACAGACTGTTGGTTCCTCAACTTGCAGGCAAATGTACTCCCATTTTGAAGGAAAAATCTCTGATTAGATGCCATTTATAAAATGCTTATGGAGGTCATTACCCCCCGCCCCCAACCCCCCCCCCCCCTCCCACACACACACACAATGAGGTTGCAGAACCCATACCGGAAGTTCTTTTACTGGTCTGTAACCTTTTCCTTCCTGCCTAGCCTAGTCTACCTCTTTGTGCCACTTCCTGTCTAATATCTCTGTCCAGTCGTTTCTGGTCAATATAGCGGATAGGAGGGTTTACTGTTTTTAGTCATGGCTATATTTTGCTTCTGCCAAAAATTAGCTGTTTAATTTTTCTCTATATGCATACTGAAAGAATATTGTTTTGTTGTCCAGCTACTGAGTTGAGTTCATGGTGCGACACTGAGAGCTGCAGCTTTTTTTTTTTTTTTTAAAGGGGGGAGGCTATTTAGCTGTGCCCTATGAGTGGCCTGTTGCCAGAGAACTTTTGGTGCCTAATGCCATTTATTGTGAGAGCAGCTTCTGATCCCTTGTAACTGATGCTTCCATCCACAGTAAATTTCATTTCTAGGGTTTGACTGTGTGTGTGAGCATTTCTGACTTGCCGCCTTATTCATTTATTGCACATGCATGCTGTTGGATTTGCTAATACTGCAGTCCTATGTTTGTGATTTTTTTTTTTTTTACAAGGGAGAGTTATAAATATTCTGTGTGGTTTTCTTTGGACAGGAACAGAGCAACTATCTGGTGACCCATTTGCTGAATGTTAAATGTTAATTAAGAATCGACATCACAGCATATGGGACACTCCCATAAGTGCTCAGTCCCCATCTTCAGCAGCAAGCGAAGAGTTACAATTCCAATTGTACCAGTAACCGTCTGATTGTATATCTGTCTCATCCTTCCCCTGAATGTTGAGCGTCGGTCAGATCCCCTGGTAACTCCTCGCAGCGCCATTCTCCTTGCTACGAAGTTTTAAATGCCTGTCTCTGTTCATAAAACAACAAAACATGTATGGAACATTGTTAACGCTGTAAGATTTTAAATCCTATGTTATTTACTGAAACTTATATAGTTAAAACTATTTTTTACATATTTATTGTAACTAAGGCTTATTTAATGGACAACGGGTGTTTTGCTTTCCATTGCAATTTGCCTTTACAGTAATATTTATTGCTTTTATTTTTATCTAATTTATTCTGTGCATTCATTCACCTTTGCAAAGGTGAATTATTTGTTCACATAAGTACCATACATTACAGTGTTGTAATTTTGTTTTACTTTTTAAAAAGATAAAACGTCATACCCCCCCCCCCTCCCCTTTTTTTTCACCCCACCAACGTGCAGCTTATTTACAGGACAGTCATTATTGTACTATCCACTGTAAACTGTGTTTAGAATAATTGCCATAATGTGTTGTTAGAATAAATGCCATACATGTTCTAAACCTGTTATATATTTGTAACCTGCAGCGTATTTAGATGACAACCAGTGTTGTGGTATTCACTGCTACACACAAACTTCATGCAAGACAACATTCAGTACCGTCTGTCCCCCGCCAGCTGTAGAGTGTGCAACAGGTAAAGTGAAATAATCTGATCTATGATTCCTAATTTTTCATGAATAATGTCATTGAGCAAACATTTTATGTGGTCTTTTTCAGCTGATACATTTGCTCTTAAATGGAAGGCTGCCATCTTGTGGTTTACAGCTAGGCTGCACTATCTCAAGGCATCCAGTTTCTGCAAAACTGTTAGTCACCTTTTCCAACATGCTTAAGGATTTTTGTGTGTGAAAAGCCTGGCCATGTATTTAAATGAGGGGACATAACTCTAGAAATGTTTGCTTTGATCTTCTTCTTCTTCATCGTGTTCACCAGTTGTAAACTCTGGCAGAAAGTTCTGGTTGTTCATCCACTTTTGGACTGCAGTCTTGTTCAAGAACCTGAGTGTTGCGTGTGCATCCGTTTAACAGATCTGACTCATTTGTATGCAGACTGCTGGTTCCTTGTCTCTCAGGCAGATGCTCTCAGGCTTCAAAAGAAGCTCCCAGTTCATCGACTCTAACAACATGCTTTTGGGTAGGCAGTGGGTCTATTCTTGTTATCCCTATAATAGGGTGCCGGAACCCACACAGGGAACTCTGATCTATTAACTCTTTAAATACCAGTGTGGCGTTAGTTTAGCTTAGCCTGTTCTGATCTGAGAAGATTGACTTCTACTTTTATTAATAATTGTTTGAGCCTGAGCAATTACAAACATATTACTAGTAGTAATACTACTGGTGGTTACCTTGCCTATGGAGTTAACAAAGCAGCCCAAGCGAGGGATCAGGCTGCATGAGGAACATATCATCTCTACAGTACTGTTCAGGTTTTGTGATATGATGAGGTGGAACTTCATCCCAGGCCTCAATTAGTGAGAGGGGGAGAGTGAGAAAGAGAGAGATTATTACACCACAGGAGGAGGGGGAAAAAGTGACTATAGCCAGGATATTAAACTGGCCTGCAGAGGCCCAGTAAGTGGCCAATAGATTAAAGCCTGTTGTACTTTATTAATTATGTTTTTATGCTCGTGCTCTGGCTTCTGGCGCTTGTCGTTTTCTCATTAGCAACTTAGTTCAAAATTTAATTGAACAGCCCTGAACTTTAGAAACTTCAGCCAGCCTGTTTTACTTGAACAACTAGAAATTGTTATCTTCCCATCCTTTAGTCAACTCAGGTTTTACTTGGTGTGTTTTTCTTTCATATTGTGAGTCACTTCAGTGTCTGTTGCCTCAGTGAGTGAGTTACAAGCGAGTTATGTTTATGTAAACTCATAACTTCTCACCTTTATTTAAACACGATCATTATTGCTACCTGATACACAGGCTTTCCTCTGACACAGTTTACATAGGTCATTTGTCAAAATGTTGCATATCCTCATCCTTTGTTGCTTTGTCCTGGATTATTTGTTTTATGTTATAGATAATTGCACATGTCACTCTACACTTACACACAACTCTGTAAATAAGACAAACAAAAACAGTTGACACACAGCACCTCCAAAATAAATGTATCAGGTAATCACAGCTCTCACATCACAGCTCCCACATCACAGCTCCCACATCACAGCTCCCACATCACAGCTCCTGCAGAAGGTATAATTTTTGTCTTCCTTGAAACTGTAAACCACAACATTATTTCCAACTTTGACAAAAACTTATGGAACTGAAAAAAAGTTAAAGAATGTGATTTATTTTTCTTTTGGATTATACATCAGTAATACCTTTTACTTTCAGGTGAAGTGAATATCTTTTCCTTGTTCCCCCACTTTGATTCCATGGATCGTCAGTTCACCTGCCACCTGCAGTATGTGCCCCCACCTCAGCTGTACAGCATCACCTACAGTGTAAGGGCGCCCAGTATTAACTTCAACACTACCCCTCAACATTTCACCATCACACCCAGCTCCAGGTTTGATCATGAAAGGAGATTATCCAAGTGAGTTTAGACATATTTTCTTCGTGCAAGCTGGACACAGTGAGTGCCATTAGTGAATTGATACCATACAGCAGCAATTTAGCTTTACAGAGACTCACATATACGGTCCTGGACTGCAGCTGTTGTCTTGTTAGTAAAAGTATAGATCGCTTTTTACGCCTGTAGGCGCATTGGGCATATGGGAAGAGCACCCATATTTTTAAAGACCAATCGGCACTAGATGAGTAATGTGGTCAGCATTACGCCGGCCATCTTTACTTCCCCAAGACATACATACTGGTACCCCTTGTAGGCTGGGTTGACCTGTGACACCCCATACCATGATAAAAATCCACGCAGCCAGCAGTGGGTTTCAACTGCGGTACATTGGCATTACGAGTCGGACTCGCAACGTCTAAGCCACAGACGTCGCTTATCTTGTTAGTGCATGTCCTTTTTTACAGGACATTGGAGAAGCAACTCTAGAATTGTTTCTGTTCTATTTGTAATTTCACTAGGCAATTCTACGTTCAGTAGTTTACCATTGCTTTATGAACATCGGTTCTCCATACCACTGTTCAGACCAATGCAAAGGGACTGCTGCTAGATCACCCACAGCTAAAATAGAACCTGGCATGCAGGCATCTAAGGTAATGAAATAGTGAATTTTTCAGCTGCGAGAGAAACAGTGGTAGGAAAGCTCAGTTTGGACAAGACCATAAATGATGAAATGCTGAAAGAAGCTACATTGATTGTGAAAGGCTGCATGAATATGGAATTAAATGTGGATACACCAAGAAAAGATGTATGAAATGTACAGTACGACCAAATGTGCAACCAGTTTATTATTGAAACAGCCATCATCTATGCCAAGGTTATTAAACTAAGATTATTCTAGGGCCAACATTTTGAAAATGGGTATCGCCACGGGCTATAGAAAGATCATTAATGCAATACAATCGGTGATTGGTGGGCCACTAGCTAGGGGCTATGGGCCATATTTGGCCCATGGATGCCAGTTAAATAGTCATGATCTAGACCTTAAGACATTTGTTGTAGGGGACAGAACATGTACGGATGTGAAGGTTTGTTATAATGTTGATTATGAAATAAGTATTTTCTGAATGCTTTTATTATTATTATTATTATTATTTTAAATAATACGGACACAAACAATACATTTCACAATTTATTGCCAGGCATTTTTTGCTGTATCTCATCATGACATGAAATGACCTGTGTCATCAGGTGTGTTACTACAGAGTTACATCAACATAAAATGAAGCACAAAACTGAATAAATCCAACTGAAATGCGAATAGAAAACAGAAAGAACAGAATGAAAGCATAGGCTGCAAGCCCTGTGTGACATATAATGGCACAACTAGAAAATGAATGAATAGAAAACATGCTGGAAGTAGAGGCTCTAGAGAAATACAGGGAAGGGTTTAACAGTACATCACGAGAACAGCCTATAAGGTGTTAACTTATCTTAAGATTGAATATTGATATCCCAGATCACTGTGAATATCTGCATAGATAGACTACACAGTAAAATTACTTTAATTGCTTGAAAGTACTCTAAAAATATATTGAACTTGACCATTTTTACTATTACACAATTCCTATGTAATCTATGCAATACTGAATAACCAAACATAAAAGCATAAGTATCCGTGATTGAAATAGACAAATAAAACTCTATATATCCCAATTAAAACCCAGAAGAGTTAAACAGGATGTTGTTGTTAGAGTGACTCCCACTACTGGTTTTTCGCCATGTTCATCTGTGTAGTCAGAAAGTCCTTATACTGAAGTGTCTGAGCTGTATATTGTGTGCTCTAAAGAGTTGTGGCTGGAAAGGGCCATAACTCAAAACAATTAGATAATGCTGTGTTGGATATTAAGTCCCTTAGACATGTTTGATCCCATTAGATAGATTAGACGTTTCTCAGTAGAGCAGCGGTTCTCAACCTGTGATTCACGAAACTTTTCTTGGTCAAACAACCCTTTCACAGGGGTCACCTAGGACTATCGGAAAACACATGTAAACTGAAGTTATAAAGTAGCAAGGGAAAAAATTGTATGGGTGGGAGCCACCACAACATGAGGAACTATATTAATGTGTTGTGGCATTAGAAAGGTTGAGAGTCACTGCAGTAGAGGATGCATTACTGATTGCCATGTTACAAATATCCACTTGAGTAAGTGGACAGCTCTATGGTGCTCATTGCCGTTAATGAGAGTACTACAGAGAAGGACACTCACTTGTCCTAGACACTTTAGTTAATCAAAAGTCACTTACCTTTACAGGAAGATTGGTTACAGTAGATCTCCAATTCTTTCTATCTCTCAGTCTAGCTATCCACTCTTTCAGTTCTTTTTTTCTTTTTAAATTTTTGGGTAGTTACATTAAAAGTCTTTTTTTTTTAAAATCCTTCTTAAGTAGAGTCGTGAGTTCACTGCCTGGCGGTGTCGGACTTTTAAAAAAAAACTGACTTTGACTCCTGGGTTGACCCAGTCTTGAGTAGGTTGCGGGTGCAGTCCCGGGAAGTAAAGGCAGTCGGCATGATGCTGACCACATCATCCATCTTGTGCCGATTGGTCCAATCTATTGGTCTATAAAAATAAAAGTCTAGCCCTATATGCCCTATACGCCTAAAGGCGTGGAAGAATGACCTTTACTTTAAGTAGAGTCTGAAGAATCGTAATCCTTGCTGTTATCACTTGTATCACTTTCTACATCTTGATCTTATACCTTAATCTGTTCTCTCCAGTAAAGTTGTTATAACTGTTCTCATTTTTTAACGCGGCCGACACATCTCACTTGCCTCTTTTAAAATTTCTGTTAACAACCCTTGTCAAATTATAAAAGTTTCTAAATACTAAAGAAATAGCCTTAAGCCTGTTGATGTTAGATGAGGAAATTATCACATTATTCATTTCAAGAAATCCAGCGTGTCAACCAAACAAGAATCCTGTAATGGCGTACAAAAATATAAATAATAATTTTTTCAACTCTGTAATGGCATACAAAAATTAGATTTCTTATTTTAAACTGAATTTTTAAAGGCCATTTGAAAGTCACCTACATTTTTATCAAGACATGTTTTGTTAAAAAGAACAATAATTAATCAGACATAATTAAACCTTGATGTGAATGTCATACATGTCAGCAGTTCTGTTTTATATTTTTGTCTGATAAATCAGGTGACTACACCGTGTGCTTGACAGTTTTGATAATAACTCTCTAAATAATGGGAATCACTAAAAACATTGGGAAGGCTTTGTGTGTGTGTATGTGTGTGTGAGAGAGAGAGAGAAAGAGAGAGAGAGGGAGAGAACGAACAAACGAACAAACTTTATTTTTAAAGGGTTTCAAATTAGGCACGCAGGCCTGTCTTACATTCAGCCCTTCCAGAGAGAAAAAGAGTAAGAAAAGTGTGTGTATAAATGTGAATGTGTCTGCATGTCCAGTGTGTATGTGTGTCAGTTGTGTGCACATATGTGTGTGTGTATGTTAGCCCGTACATTTTTTGAGGGTGACCTATGAAAGATTCAGTCTTAGCACTGACAGGCTGTAAACTCTGGAGGGAAAATCTGGGTGTTCGTCCACTTCTGGACTTTTTGTTTGGTTCCAGAACTTGAGTTTTGCGTGCACATACATTTTATGTATAAATGTATATATATATATATATATATATATATATATATATATATATATATATATATATATATATATATATATATATATATATATATATATATATATATATATATATATATATATGTATCTCTTATTTGTGTGCAGACTATTGGTTCCTCAGCTATCACGCAGATGCACTCCGACATTGAGCTAAACAGCCCTAATTAGTCATCTTTTACGACATGCTTGCTAGGCGGTGGGGCAGTAGGTATATTCTTTGATTTGATTTGACTCGATTTGACTCTGGGCATTCCCATAAGCGCTCCGTCCCTATCTTCAGTAGCCAGCGAAGAGTTCCGATACTCATGGTGCCAGTAGCATTATGATTAAATGTCTGTCTTGCCTTTTCTCTGAGCCTTGAGCATCTGCTAGAATCTCTCATCACTCCCCCCTGCATCAATCTCACCAGACTGATGATCCATCTGCTCCTCCAAATTGTACACACTTTTCCACAAGGCACAAACCACGTAGGCCTTATCATGCATCAGTATTCCACCAAGTTGTTCAGAGCCGGCCAGTCTGTCCGCCTGTTCATTTCATAACACACCGGCGTGCCTGGGTAAGAAAATCCAGACAATACTCCTCACCCGTGTCCTCCGCAGCGAAGAATGCCACTCTGCACGAAGCATGCCTGTCCTAATCTTCCTCAGCATGCTTTCTGAGTGTATATTCTTTATTCCCCCCCCCCCAATATGGGGCCCCAGGAAACTACATGGGGAATCCTCAGGTTCAAGGACCCCCCCCCCCCCCCCCCCCCCCTCCTCGTCCTGTACCGCCCTTTCAAGTGGTAAAGACAGTTTACAGTTTTCAGTATGTTTATCCTTTTTAAAGTTAATCTATACTCTAGAATATTTTTATCCCTTCTAAAGTAATTTCATTGTTTTCAGTTAGACTCAAACTTTTCATTTCTTTTTAGCAGTATCTAGTCTTTTTAGCCGAGGGTAGTCTATTCATCCTTTTTCAGTAAGACTCTAGTCTTTTCATCCCCTTTTTAAATAGAGTCTAAATTATGCTCATCCTTGTTAATTTTGCAGTCCATGCTTTTGAGCAATGTACTTTAAATATGTTGCACACATCATCCACAGCTTTGACTTCATGAGTGCTCTGCATGACACCCGACTGAAGCTGGAGGAGGAGCTGGTGCTCAGTGGGGATCATATAGAGTTGACACACTACCATGACAGTCTGATGAAACCATACACAGTTCGAGAACTGAAGACACCCAGTGATTTAAATAAGCAGAAAACTTTCACCCAGAACTTTGCTTCCAAGTCATCCTACATCCAGTTTGAGCGACCATTCTTGTACAGTTCGTTAACGTGGTACAAGGATGGTTGTTACAAAAACGTTTCCGAGGTAAACTAAAATCCTCCTCTTTCTTATCCTTCTTCTTCTCCTTCTCTCTTCTTTCTCCACCATGTGCTTCTCCTCCTCCTGTTGCTTCTCCTCTTTCATTTACTTTTCCTTCTCCTTCTTCTTCTTCCTTCTTATCTTCTTGTGCTTCTCCTCCTCTTCTTCTTTCTCCTCCTCGTGCTTCTTCTCTTCCCTTTGCTTTTCTTTTTCCTTTTTGTATTCTCCTCTTCCTTTTTGTATTCTCCTTTTCCTTTTTATATTCTCCTCTCCCTTTTTGTATTCTCCTCTTCCTTTTTTTATTCTCCTCTTCCTTTTTGTATTCTCCTCTCCCTTTTTGTATTTTCCTCTCCCTTTTTGTATTTTCCTCTTCCTTTTTGTATTCTCCTCTTCCTTTTTGTATTCTCCTCTTCCTTTTTGTATTCTCCTCTTCCTTTTTGTATTCTCCTCTTCCTTTTTTTATTCTCCTCTTCCTTTTTGTATTCTCCTTTCCCTTTTTGTATTTTCCTCTCCCTTTTTGTATTTTCCTCTTCCTTTTTGTATTCTCCTCTTCCTTTTTGTATTCTCCTCTTCCTTTTTGTATTCTCCTCTTCCTTTTTGTATTACCCTCTTCCTTTTTGTATTCTCCTCTTCCTTTTTATATTCTCCTCTTCCTTTTTGTATTCTCCTCTTCCTTTTTGTATTCTCCTCTTCCTTTTTGTATTCTCCTCTTCCTTTTTGTATTCTCCTCTTCCTTTTTGTATTCTCCCCTTCCTTTTTGTATTCTCCCCTTCCTTTTTGTATTCTCCCCTTCCTTTTTGTATTCTCCTCTTCCTTTTTGTATTCTCCTCTTCCTTTTTGTATTCTCCTCTTCCTTCTTGTGCTTCTTCTCCATCCTCCTCCTCATTTTCTTTTCTCCTCCTCTTTCTTCTCTTTGCCATTTTCCTCCTCCTTCTTTCTCCTCCTTTTCTTCAACTTCCTGTTACCTTTCTTCTTATACTCCTACTCCCCATTCTTGTGCATCTCCTAATAGGAAAAAAGCAACAGAGCCACTGCATTATAACAATGATACTGTAAAAGGCAGTTAGAGGTTTGCTGAAATAAGATATGTCGTACGTAATGGTTCAGACATTGCTGCCTAGCTGTAAACCACAAGACAGTAAGCCAACTACCCTTCTAATGGCAAATGCACAATAAGAAGAAACTACAGCTGGGTTTTTTTCCTTCGTTAATACTTTTTTATATCTATGAATCTGTTCTGGTATCTTCTAGATTTACCCGAACCAGACTATCCATAGAGAAGACTTCATTCCGGTTATGGCCAGGAAAAACATCATTGAGTTGCAGCCAAACAAAGCTTTGTTCAGAAATAGAGAGTTCTCCTACCAGCTGTACCATCGAGACAGAGCACCATATATCAAGTTCTATGTTGAAAGTAAGAATTACGTTATAGTGGTTTTTCCATTGTTAATTTTGATAATTGGTAACAGATTCATGATACATTGTACAGTGCAAAACATTGTTTGTGTCAGTATTATTTAAAAAATACTATTGGTAATCTGTCTTTGATATTTTTCTTCTTCTTCTTCAGCGTTCAACTCCCTTGAAGTTCATAGCTGCAGATATCCCCTGCCTCCACTCATTTCTCTGGTTTTCCTTCATTTTCCAGTTGATATTGGACATTTTTTTTCTTCTTCTTCTTAGCGTCCACCGGCTGTAGCTCCAATGGAAAGTTCTGGATGCTCACCCACTTCTGGACCTTTAGTATTCTTCCAGAACCTGAACTTTGCATGCACATCCATTTTACAGGTCTGGCTTATTTTTATGCAGACTGTTGGTTCCTCACTTTTCAGGCTGATGCACTGTGACTTTAAAAGAAAACATAACTGATAAGTCAGTTCTTATGATTTCTTGTAATGGGGAAAATGAGACTATTCTTTGTCCACCCCTGAACCTACATTGGGAATCTTCATTGAAATCCACAGACAAACTTTCCATCATCAGAAGTCATTAGATGTGAAGCAGAGAGTTTATTAAGAAGCTTTGGAGCAATATCTGATGTATAGAAGATTAAGAGACTTTGGAGCAATATCTGACGTATGGAAGATTAAGGGACTTTGGAGCAATTTCTGACGTATGGAAGATTAAGGGACTTTGGAGCAATATCTGACGTATGGAAGATTAAGAGACACTGGAGCAATTTCTGACATATGGAAGATTAAGGGACTTTGGAGCAATTTCTGACGTATGGAAGATTAAGGGACTTTGGAGCAATTTCTGACGTATGGAAGATTAAGAGACACTGGAGCAATTTCTGACATATGGAAGATTAAGGGACTTTGGAGCAATTTCTGACGTATGGAAGATTAAGGGACTTTGGAGCAATTTCTGACGTATGGAAGATTAAGAGACACTGGAGCAATTTCTGACATATGGAAGATTAAGGGACTTTGGAGCAATTTCTGACGTATGGAAGATTAAGGGACTTTGGAGCAATATCTGACGTATGGAAGATTAAGAGACACTGGAGCAATTTCTGACATATGGAAGATTAAGGGACTTTGGAGCAATTTCTGACGTATGGAAGATTAAGGGACTTTGGAGCAATTTCTGACGTATGGAAGATTAAGAGACACTGGAGCAATTTCTGACATATGGAAGATTAAGGGACTTTGGAGCAATTTCTGACGTATGGAAGATTAAGGGACTTTGGAGCAATTTCTGACGTATGGAAGATTAAGAGACACTGGAGCAATTTCTGACATATGGAAGATTAAGGGACTTTGGAGCAATTTCTGACATATGGAAGATTAAGGGACTTTGGAGCAATATCTGATGTATGGAAGATTAAGAGACTTTGAAGGAATTTCTGACATATGGAAGTGAATCATGGACAGTCAGTTGATTGGTGAACATTAATTGGAAACTACAAACATGTGGTTCTGTAGACAAATGGCAAGAACACTGTGGACGAATAAGAAGGGTAATGATGACATCAAAGGAAACTAACTTTAGGAGAGAACTGGTTGTAAGCATATTTTGAAAGGCAATTAATTAAGGCTTTGCTGAAATCAGATGTGTGCGATAATAAAAAAAGAAGGGGAAAAAAGGGTGTGTATATATATAACAGCCAAGCTGTAAACCACAAAACAATGTGCCAACCACCTTTTTAAGAACAAATGTTCAAGAAGAAGAAGAATAAATAACATTGCGTATAAACAATATAATTGTAATATATTCAAGAATAATAACATGGGTCACACTTAGAGAATAGAGAATGGTAGAGTCGCTAACAACATCCTCTATGGTGAATTACAGATCGGTAGAAGATGTTGTAAAGATGTGTGCAAACAGGACATGAATGATACAGGTATTGAGGTAGATTTGTGGTGGTGGAAAAATACCTTGGACCGTGTTGAGTGGAAGGGGAAAATCAGGAAGGGAATAGGAATAAAGGAAAACAACTGATTGCAGAAAGGTTGAGAGCTGGACATCTGAGAAGAAGCACACTAACTACATATAATGGCAACAACAGTCCTGAAATTGCATACTGTAATTGTGGAAGAGGTTTTAAACACGTCTGGGTCTTGCAAGTCAGGTTCGCCATTGCTATGGGCTGTGAATCCAGTGCCTCCCCATATCACACTATAACACTTTCTTCTGTAAAGATGGAAAGGTGTTGACGTTGTAGGTGATTTCAGCGGCACCACAGCGGCTGCTACATCTCCCAGAAAAAGTGCTAGCAGCTATTTTATGGGCTTTGATCTCGGAACCACCTGGTCATAGAATATATCTGTCTTCATAGAAGATTGAACCAAGGGTCATAAAGGGGCGCAAATTTAGACGAGGATGTTCAAAAGAAAGCCTAAGACAAACGACGAGAAAAGCCAAAGGGGCTTGTCTAGATTCCATCCATGTTATTGAATACTGAAACAGTTACTCCCCCTTGGGTTCCAGAGCCCTATTGTTGGGAAAACAAGAACAGACCTACTGATTTCCCAACAAGCATGTCAAAGGTCGACTAAAAGGTGGCATTCTTTGAAGTCATAGTGCATCTGCTTGAGAGGCAATAATAAAAATAAGTCAGATCTGTAAAATGGATGTGCACGTGACATTTAGGTTCCTTAACAAGAATAATGTCTAGAAGTGGATGAACAAACATAATTTTCTACCAGAGTTTGCAGCCAGTGACCATGAAAAAGTAGAAAAATAAACAGTTACACAGGATAGAGGAGAATGGAAGAATAGACTGCAAGCCTTATGAAGAATGGGTACAAAAGGATAATGATGATGGGGTACAAGCCACTGCTCTAAATATGTATGTGTGTATATGAGAGAGGGAGAGGAGAAGAGAGTGAGAGAAAGAGAGAGACTGTATTTATTGTGTACAAGGGGTTCCTTATTTGTGTTTTTTTGAACAACTGATCAACATTATGGCACATGGGTAGTATCCCAAAAGTGCTCCTTCTTTTTATAACTCAAGTCTGAGTCCGAAAAAGCTCAGTACAGTGCACAGGCTCTGTAGCACTGGTGAGGATTCTGAAATACTTTGGGTAGATTTTAAACTCCAAATTTTGCCCGGGCAGCGCCGTTAGGCTACTCTTTTCTATTTCCAACTGCCAAGGGACTTTTTTTACGTTTGCAACAATGCACACGGGCATCCAATCTCACTACCCAGAGGCCCCCGTGTGGGTTCCAGGGCCCCATTGTGGGAAAAACCAGAATAGACCCACTGCCCACCCAAAAGCATGTTGTAAGAGTCGACTAATTGGGGAGCTTCCTTTGAAGTCGAGTGCATCTGCCGGAGAGGCAAGGAACCAAAAGTCTGTATTCAAGAGAATGGGATCTGTAAAACTGATGCACACGCAACACTCAGGTTCTGGAGCAGGACTGCAGTTCAGTAGTGGACGAGCAACCAGAACTTTCCGCCAGAGTGTACAGCTGGTGAACGCGAAGAAGAAGACTACCCAGAGGCCAGGAGGAATTGCTAGAAGTCCAAATCCTTGTGAACAAATCCCAGCCATTTCCAGGCATTGAACCCGGAACTCTAGCACTCGAAGCGGACACCATGCCTCGCGACCTTGCAGCCCGCCCCTTCTTATTTGTACATTTGTGTAATGTAATAATTTTTCCTTTCTAATTAAACAGGGGGGAAGTCAGTGTTACAGCATCTCCAAGGGACATCAGTCAAAGGGAAACTTGTGCCTAGCAGTTTGTATGGGAGAGTTTCCTGGCACCATGAAACATCAACATGGAAACTGGTCTTTTCTGGTATGCCAGATTTTTTTCTCCCCAGAAAGATTGTCGGAACCTTATTTTCAAAATAGAATGCACCAAATAGATGATGATGTTTTGTTGTTTACATGTATACAAAAATAATGTTAAGCAATTAATGTAGGAAGAATATTATTAACATAAAGTACTAAGCTCTATGAACTTTAGGTTACTTTGCTGTAATATTATCTTAAAGTTGAATGGGGTTTCTAAGATTTTCACTTGGGAGATTCTCATCTGAATAGTGACACTGTGAACTTTGTGTCACCAGGTGTTAATCCCTCAGTGTATGGTCCTAGTGAGGTTCAACTTCACCCACTCACTCATCCACTTTTAAGATGCACTGCCCCTTAACCTACAAAGGCAATGAGTCTACAGTTTGTTGAAATTATATATTTTGGGCCCAAAGGTTTATATAACACAGTCTAGCTGTAAACCTCACCTTAGCATGCAATCCACCCTTTTGGGGCTGAATGCTGAAGAAGAAAAAGAAGAAAATAAGGTAATGGTTTTTTTTCCACACCAGGAGATATCAGGACCTATAAGCATAATTTTGAAGACCGCCGCCACTTAGTGAGTGATATTGACAACACCGTGTCGGGCTGCCTTTACTTCCCAAAACATTTCCTGAAACCTATTTTAGGCTATGTTGTATTATAGAAAATTAGCTACATTGTTGACCTCGTCTGAAAAAGATTGAAAGGCTGTGGGCAGCAACGGAACCAGACATTTTTATCCATTGCCCAAACAATAATTCACTAAAATAAATGTCTGAATGCCAGTGGTAGCCAACCCATTGTTAAAATTTAGAAGTCAAAGAGCCAAAGGTAACTTCTATTCGTCTCTTGATGTCTGGGTAAATTTAGTTTGGCAATGCTTATTTGCCCATCAAAGATGCAAACAGCGGTGAATGGAGAGTAAGAAGCAACAACGAAATTCATAATCTGTTTAAATCACCACTGATCGCTGACATCATGAGATCTAATGGACTGAAATGGTTGGGGCATGTTGAAAGAATGTCAAATGACAGAGAAGTAAGTGAGATGAATTTCCGTAGACCACAAAGCAGACCAAGAAGATGATGGAGTGATAATATCCAGACAGACCTGCAAACAGTGTCACCAACTGGAAAGAGAAGGCCAACCAGAGAGATAAATGGAGGCGGATGATATCTGCAGCAATGAACCTCAAGGGTTTAGAATGCTGAAGAAGAAGAAGAATGTTTATATACTGATGAACATTAAAGGGGATGAATTCAAGCAAGGCAAAGGAATTAAAGCAATAAGAGAAATGTCTGAACACTTGCTCATATCAACAGTTATAAGATAAAGAAGATGATGCTTTTTTGGGCACATCATGAGGAAGGGAAAACAGAAAATCACCAAACAGCCCTTTAAATGGGAAATAAATGAACCGAGGAGGTGACGATGTCTAAAAGAGTTCCTAAGATGAGAGAGACCCTAAGGTGAGAGAGATGCTAAGATGAGAGAGACCCTAAGATGAGAGAGACCCTAAGATGAGAGAGACCCTAAGATGAGAGAGACCCTAAGATGAGAAAGACCCTAAGATGAGAGAGACCCTAAGATGAGAAAGATGCTAAGATGAGAGAGACCCTAAGATGAGAGAGACCCTAAGATGAGAAAGAGGCTAAGATGAGAGAGACCCTAAGATGAGAGAGACCTTAAGATGAGAGAGACCCTAAGATGAGAGAGACCCTAAGATGAGAGAGATGCTAAGATGAGAGAGACCCTAAGATGAGAGAGACCCTAAGATGAGAGAGACCCTAAGATGAGAGAGACCCTAAGATGAGAAAGACCCTAAGATGAGAGAGACCCTAAGATGAGAAAGATGCTAAGATGAGAGAGACCCTAAGATGAGAGAGACCCTAAGATGAGAGAGACCCTAAGATGAGAAAGATGCTAAGATGAGAGAGACCCTAAGATGAGAAAGACCCTAAGATGAGAGAGACCCTAAGATGAGAAAGATGCTAAGATGAGAGAGACCCTAAGATGAGAGAGACCCTAAGAGGAGAGAGAACCTAAGATAAGAGAGACCCTAAGATAAGAGAGTTCCTAAGATTAGAGAGACGCTAAGATGTGAGAGACCCTAAGATGAGAGAGATGCTAAGATGAGAGAGATACTAAGATGAGAGAGATGCTAAGATGAGAGAGGCCCTAAGATGAGAGAGATGCTAAGATGAGAGAGATGCTAAAATGAGAGAGACCCTAAGATGAGAGAGACCCTAAGATAAGAGAGACCCTAAGATGAGAGAGACCCTAAGATGAGAGAGATGCTAAGATGAAAGAGACCCTAAGATGAGAGAGACCCTAAGATGAGAGAGACCCTAAGATGAGAGAGACCCTAAGATGAGAGAGACCCTAAGATGAGAGAGACCCTAAGATTAGAGAGATGCTAAGATGAGAGAGACCCTAAGATGAGAGAGATGCTAAGATGAGAGAGACCCTAAGATGAGAGAGACCCTAAGATAAGAGAGACCCTAAGATAAGAGAGTTCCTAAGATTAGAGAGTTCCTAAGATTAGAGAGACCCTAAGATGAGAAAGAGGCTAAGATGAGAGAGACCCTAAGATGAGAGAGACCCTAAGATGAGAGAGACCCTAAGATGAGAGAGACCCTAAGATGAGAGAGATGCTAAGATGAGAGAGACCCTAAGATGAGAGAGACCCTAAGATGAGAGAGACCCTAAGATGAGAGAGACCCTAAGATGAGAAAGACCCTAAGATGAGAGAGACCCTAAGATGAGAAAGATGCTAAGATGAGAGAGACCCTAAGATGAGAGAGACCCTAAGATGAGAGAGACCCTAAGATGAGAAAGATGCTAAGATGAGAGAGACCCTAAGATGAGAGAGACCCTAAGATGAGAGAGACCCTAAGATGAGAAAGATGCTAAGATGAGAGAGTCCCTAAGATGAGAGAGACCCTAAGAGGAGAGAGAACCTAAGATAAGAGAGACCCTAAGATAAGAGAGTTCCTAAGATTAGAGAGACGCTAAGATGTGAGAGACCCTAAGATGAGAGAGATGCTGATGAGAGAGATACTAAGATGAGAGATGCTAAGATGAGAGAGGCCCTAAGATGAGAGAGATGCTAAGATGAGAGAGATGCTAAAATGAGAGAGACCCTAAGATGAGAGAGACCCTAAGATAAGAGAGACCCTAAGATGAGAGAGACCCTAAGATGAGAGAGATGCTAAGATGAAAGAGACCCTAAGATGAGAGAGACCCTAAGATGAGAGAGACCCTAAGATGAGAGAGACCCTAAGATGGGAGAGACCCTAAGATTAGAGAGATGCTAAGATGAGAGAGACCCTAAGATGAGAGAGACGCTAAGATGAGAGAGACCCTAAGATGAGAGAGACCCTAAGATGAGAGAGACCCTAAGATAAGAGAGACCCTAAGATAAGAGAGTTCCTAAGATTAGAGAGTTCCTAAGATTAGAGAGACCCTAAGATGAGAAAGATGCTAAGATGAGAGAGACCCTAAGATGAGAGAGATGCTAAGATGAGAGAGACCCTAAGATGAGAAAGATGCTAAAATGAGAGAGACCCTAAGATGAGAGAGATGCCAAGATGAGAGAGACCCTAAGATGAGAGAGACCCTAAGATGAGAGAGACCCTAAGATGAGAGAGACCCTAAGATGAGAGAGATGCTAAGATGAGAGAGACCCTAAGATGAGAGAGATGCTAAGATGAGAGAGACCCTAAGATGAGAGAGACCCTAAGATGAGAAAGATGCTAAGATGAGAGAGACCCTAAGATGAGAGAGATGCTAAGATGAGAGAGACCCTAAGATGAGAGAGACCCTAATATGAGAGAGACCCTAAGATAAGAGAGACCCTAAGATAAGAGAGTTCCTAAGATTAGAGAGATGCTAAGATGTGAGAGACCCTAAGATGAGAGAGATGCTAAGATGAGAGAGATACTAAGATGAGAGAGATGCTAAGATGAGAGAGGCCCTAAGATGAGAGAGATGCTAGGATGAGAGAGATGCTAAGATGAGAGAGACCCTAAGATGAGAGAGACCCTAAGATAAGAGAGACCCTAAGATGAGAGAGACCCTAAGATGAGAGAGACCCTAAGATGAAAGAGACCCTAAGATGAAAGAGACCCTAAGATGAGAGAGACCCTAAGATGAGAGAGACCCTAAGATGAGAGAGACCCTAAGATGAGAGAGACCCTAAGATTAGAGAGATGCTAAGATGAGAGAGACCCTAAGATGAGAGAGATGCTAAGATGAGAGAGACCCTAAGATGAGAGAGACCCTAAGATAAGAGAGTTCCTACGATTCGAGAGTTCCTAAGATTAGAGAGACCCTAAGAGGAGAGAGACCCTAAGATAAGAGAGTTCCTAAGATTAGAGAGACGCTAAGATGTGAGAGACCCTAAGATGAGAGAGATGCTAAGATGAGAGAGATACTAAGATGAGAGAGATGCTAAGATGAGAGAGGCCCTAAGATGAGAGAGATGCTAAGATGAGAGAGATGCTAAAATGAGAGAGACCCTAAGATGAGAGAGACCCTAAGATAAGAGAGACCCTAAGATGAGAGAGACCCTAAGATGAGAGAGATGCTAAGATGAAAGAGACCCTAAGATGAGAGAGACCCTAAGATGAGAGAGACCCTAAGATGAGAGAGACCCTAAGATGAGAGAGACCCTAAGATTAGAGAGATGCTAAGATGAGAGAGACCCTAAGATGAGAGAGATGCTAAGATGAGAGAGACCCTAAGATGAGAGAGACCCTAAGATAAGAGAGACCCTAAGATGAGAGAGAACCTAAGATAAGAGAGACCCTAAGATAAGAGAGTTCCTAAGATTAGAGAGATGCTAAGATGTGAGAGACCCTAAGAAGAGAGAGGCTAAGATGAGAGAGATACTAAGATGAGAGAGATGCTAAGATGAGAGAGGCCCTAAGATGAGAGAGATGCTAGGATGAGAGAGATGCTAAGATGAGAGAGACCCTAAGATGAGAGAGACCCTAAGAGAGAGAGACCCTAAGATGAGAGAGACCCTAAGATGAGAGAGACCCTAAGATGAGAGAGACCCTAAGATGACCCTAAGATGAGAGAGACCCTAAGATGAGAGAGACCCTAAGATGAGAGAGACCCTAAGATGAGAAAGATGCTAAGATGAGAGAGACCCTAAGATGAGAGAGACCCTAAGATGAGAAAGGTGCTAAGATGAGAGAGACCCTAAGATGAGAGAGACCCTAAGATGAGAGAGACCCTAAGATAAGAGAGACCCTAAGATAAGAGAGTTCCTAAGATTAGAGAGATGCTAAGATGAGAGAGACCCTAAGATGAGAGAGATGCTAAGATGAGAGAGATGCTAAGATGAGAGAGATGCTAAGATGAGAGAGACCCAAAGATGAGAGAGATGCTAAGATGAGATAGATGCTAAGATGAGAGAGACCCTAAGATGAGCGAGACCCTAAGATGAGAGAGACCCTAAGATGAGAGAGACCCTAAGATGAGAGAGACCCTAAGATGAGAGAGACCCTAAGATGAGAGAGATGCTAAGATGAGAGAGACCCTAAGATGGGAGAGATGCTAAGATGAGAGAGACCCTAAGATGAGAGAGACCCTAAGATGAGAAAGATGCTAAGATGAGAGAGACCCTAAGATGAGAGAGATGCTAAGATGAGAGAGATGCTAAGATGAGAGAGATGCTAAGATAAGAAAGACCCTAAGATGAGAGAGACCCTAAGATGAGAGAGACCCTAAGATGAGAGAGACCCTAAGATGAGAGAGACCCTAAGATGAGAGAGACCCTAAGATGAGAGAGATGCTAAGATGAGAGAGACCCTAAAATTAGAGAGACCCTAAGATGAGAGAAGCCAAAAAGTGGATCAATTCCTGAAATTGAAACAATTGAAAAGGATAGAATAGAATTAAAGAATAGCCTTTGAACCCTATGTTATATATAAAATGGCACAAAAGGTTGATGATGATGATATTTATACAGGTTTTTCTTTCGTGTGGGTTCCAGGTCTCCATTGTTGGTAGTTGTGGGGGGGGGGGGGGGGGGGCAATTAAATAGACCCTCTAGTGTTTCATGAAAGTCGACTTATTAGGGGTGTTTCCTTCGAAGTCAGAGAGCTTTAGCCTGAGATATGAGGAACCAACAGTCTGCATGCAAATAAGTCAGATCTGTAAATGGATGTGCATGCAAAACTCAAGCTCTGGAACAAGACTAAAGTTCCGAAATGGATGAACAACCAAAACACGCTCTACCAGAGTTTAGAATTCATCAAGTAACAGAAGGGGTATTGATGGGCACTCATAGAAAGAAGCAGAAAGATAGTTTACCAGAGTTTAGAGATAGTGAACGTGAAGATGAAGAAGAAGAGAACTAAAGTATTATAGATTATTTGGTCGACTGTTTTCTCTTTTACGTTGATTTAAACATTTGTGTAATGTTTCCTTCCATCAGCGACACAAAGTGAATGTCCCTCCGTCATCAGTCTAAAAATCTTCACCCAACTCATGACCGGCTGTGCTGGATACTTTGACCTTCTGGTCAACTGCCCCAAGGACTTTACTGTGACCTTCAACTTCTCAACTGGAATGAGTGACCTCCCCGACATCTTTATTCTACAGATCAATGATTCGGCCACTACTCACAACATGGTGCTGTCATCAGTATATCCTCCACTTTATGTTGATGAGGTCAACACAAGAACTAATGGACAACATGATGAAGGTTTCTTTACAAGGGAACACAGTAACAGTTTTGTGAATATCTGGATACCAATTATTATCGTGGTAACATTGACACTTTTTCTTCTGATTATCATCTACTTTTCACACAAGTGCATCAATTCAAGGGTAGAAAAGGTTGATGTGACCTTTCATGGAAATCACGAAGGAGAAACTGTTGCCTTGAATAACCAGCGAGAAGAGGTGAATCAAACAGTTATAGCTACCGGTGCCAGACCGCAACCAAAATGTTACATCTTTGTGTTTGTAGTTCTGTACATCATCTACTCCCTAGTGTTCACTTTTAGTGTTACATTTAGCATCATATACTTCTCACATTCGTCAATGTGGGCCAACTTAACCAACTCAGAGCATCTAGGGAAAGAGCTGCATTTACAGGTCAATAAGTCTTTACACGATATTCAAAAGTTTGAAGAGAAAGAAAGGCTTCGATTGTTTACTTCCTACCAAGAAAGGAGAAAGGCTTGTATGCATCATCTTGAACATGAAAACAAGAAACTATTACAAGATTATGAAATCACTACAAGGGAACAGGTAAACGCCATTTTTGTTGAGAATGGCACCTTGCATTATTTCACAAATGAAATTCAAAAGCAGAACATATCTGCCTATCTGCAGCAAATTCACAGTTTTGTCACAGATTGTAACAAAACATTACATTCAATTGTAGACAGGTTCCAGGCGAATTATTTTCAGTTTATTCGTAACACGGCTAACAGTGATTGGCTGAAAGTTCCTCGCCAGATTTTTCTTCATCAGGATGGTGAAGATCCAAATATGAAATATTTATCTTCTACTCAAGTCAAACAATTTGCTTCATGGCTTGAGATAGACAAAAATGAAGAGCTCTTTGCAGTCAGGGAAAATGTTTTTGGCAGGTAAGGCTGTTTTTTTTATTTTTTTGGCTGTTATTTTATAGTATTGTTTTGTAAAAAAATTGTAAATGTATAGTTTGTAAATTTTATTTTAATTTCTGATATAACACTCCTCTTAGAGAAAATGCCTTGTGACAGCATACCATACAGGGCATACACTAAAAGAGGAGCAGAGAAGAATGTAGATCATGAGGTAGACCATGAACACGATGGAAAGATAACATCAGAGAAATTCTACAACAGTATGATGTGTGTCTGGGGTCAGGGTGGCCAGAAAATAAAGTAGAAGAAGAAGATGAAGATATCTCCCTTGACCCCAGAAGTGGTAAATGAACAAGGAAAGAAAAAGTAGTACGAAACTGTGTTTATTCAAGCTAAGGTTATTATATACAGGTTCTTCTGGGCAACCAAATTATTGATACATCATTATGTGTCATGTTGTGTAGCAAAGATGGGGCTCACCATCCCAAACTCCTTCTTCTACTTCTTCTTCCTCTTCTTCACATTCACTGGCTGTAAACTAGGAGGCAAAACTCTAACTGTTCATCCACTTCTGGACTTTGGTTCAGCATTGTTCCAGAACCTGAGCTTTGCATTTACATTCATTTTACAGATCTGGCTTACTTGTATGCAGACTGTTGGTTCCTCATCTCTTAGGCTGATGTCCTCCAACTTCAGAGGAAACATCCATAATTAGTCAACTCTTTTGACATGTTTTTTAGAAGGCAGTCGGTCTGTTCTTTCTTTCCCCATCTCATACAATTGTCAGAATCAGGGACCAGGTCTGTATTTTCAGTCAACACAAGCCTTATTTCAAGCCATTTATTTATTTATCTCTTTTGTTTCCGCTGATGTTTTTTTTTTCTGCCAGTTTGCCTGAAGATCTTGAGTTCAAATCCACACTACTGTTTATTTTTTATAATTGATTTAGGCTTTGAGGCTGATCCAACTTTACATGGACATCAGAAAATGTCCTGGGAGGCCAAGATGGCCAGCGTAAAGTTGACCACATCCCTCTACGAGTGCTGACTGTTCTATAAAAAATAGAGCCTTAGCACCCTATGTCTGGTCTTCAAAAGGCAAGAAATTGTCTTTGTCTTGCTTTACTTTCATGTCAGACATGAATAGATTGTGAGACAAAGCACTTCTGGAATGACTGATCTTACCTTCATCTTTGTGCCGGGTTATGTGAGTGTTTGAAGCAATGAGCGTGCAGATTATCTTGCAGATGCTACTACGGTTCCTATTCTGGTCGGGTACTGGACATTTTAAAAAAATTAAGTTGTGTATCCTCTACAGGACATTGCAGAACCAATCCCAGCAATTTTTTTTTTTTGTGCAAATGTTATGTTCAGTAGTTTGTCATTGCTATCTGAAGGGTCAGCTCTCGGTACCACTGTCAAACCAAAGAAAGACAAACCGTCCACAGCTGGGATCGAACCCGGTACCACGGCTTTATGAAGCGCTTACGCAATGCCTGAGTCACAGATTCCGACTGGACATAAGCGATGTTATTAATGCTCTGAGCATAGCTAACCACAAAGATGAATACGACAAAGGGCATGACTCAGTATCCCTGTCCAGGCTGATTGACATGGAAGTGCAACCGGGCGCAGCAAGAAATGGACATTTTATGAGGGGGGACAAGATGTTTTATTAAACAAAACATAGTCCAAGCCGGATTCATCAGGCACGAATGGATTGCGACACTGAGCACTTCACGAATAGCTGCCCTATCCTTTATCTTTGTGCCAGGTCACGCGGGTGTTCAAAGGAATGAGCGTGTAGACTATCTTGCTGACACTGCAGTTGCTATGACTGGTCCAGTACTGAACTGAAGCGATGTTATCAATGCCATGCGCTGCACTTACTGTATCGAGGAGCACGCCAAAAGACATGACTTTGTATCCCTTTCTAGACTGATGGACATGGGGGTGCAGCCTGGAGCTGCAAGTGAACATTTCACTAAGGAGACAAGACGTTTCATAAACCAACACAGAACAGGTGTCATCAGTTGTTTTATACTTGTGGAGCTTCTGAGGAGGAGATCGAAGCACCTATGGATCCATCCCGGGATGCTGTGATGATAATCCTATATAATCACTAAAAGCTGGTGTTTAACGAGTTCGGTGCATCTATGGATCTGTCCAGAGTATTGTGGTGATTATCCTTGCTAATCGAATTGCTAATCATCATCATCATCATGTAGCAGGTCCTTTGCAGAACATCAGTCTTATCACAGTCTGCCTGAAAGAAACTCATTCTCTTGCCAGCTCTCCCGCCTCATGTACTTTCATACTCAAATAGTCACTTATATCTTGTGCCCATCTTTGTGTTGGTCGGCCCCTGCCCCTCCTTCCTGGTACGATGCCTTCTGTTATTATTTTTAATCGCTAATCACTTTCATGTATTTATTTACCTTTTCTTATTTCCTGTTTAATAATGTCAAATTTTGTTTTACTCCACAGGCTGACAAATATTCCAGTGCCTCATGTTTCCACACCTGACATTACATTTCCATCCCTGCATCCGCAATTTCAACAGGAACTTCCTGAAGTGGAACTCCATCATCACTGGTACAGTGTCCTGGAACCTTTATTGACTGAAGCCTCAGCATCTGTCAACTCTTCAACAAACACATCAAGTCCAGCAGATTTGCAGCGTTCAAGAAGGGATGCAGAGATGTTTGGACTGAGTGGGAATCTAAAGCATAACCCAGATAGTAATACTTTTCCAAATAACAGACGTGGTGGCAAAGATAACTCAGCATTTAGAAACAGTTCTAGCTTTAACAAAAATATAAGTTATAAACCAAATCCGCACAAACAGACAGGAAGTGTAGAGGCTATTCATGATTTGGATGACTTCCACAAGCTTGATATGGACGTAATCAGTGTTGAAGAAGATGTTGCATTTACCTCGGATATGCTTCTAGATGAACCACACATGACTGAAGATCTCAAGTCTGAGTCACATTCATCATCAGAATCAGATTCTGAATCCACAAACAATAATAAATTCTACATTCTGATTGCAGCATTTCTTATACTAGATGTGGTGTTGTGGGTTTATCGAATCTCCTGGCTCAGCAGCCAGCTTTATGCAGCCCGTCACGGGTATGCTGACAGAATTCCAACTGACGAGACGTGCAAGCAAGTTCTGGAAATACAGACTGCTTACCATCTTCCAGCCTTTGAAAATCCACATGATGATTCCTCGGGATATTATGTAGATGTGAAAGAATCGCTTTATGTTTCCGACAGGGAGAGCGATATGACGTTTTTACAAACTTTACCCACTCCCAAATCTAAAGATGACATTCTTCAGAAAATCTGGAATGAAAAGATGAACAAAAGTGAGGATCGTGCAGTTGTGAGAATGCAGAAGTGCTTTCTGGTACGATGGTACGGGGATTTGCGAAGAGTGTTGAACAGAATGTTCCTGTCCCAATTAATGTGGCAGGTAAGAGGTCACACATTAGATTACCTATCAGTTCTATTACACACTCCTCCCCTCCAAACACCCTGTTAAACTGTACACCTCTGTTATTTTAAGGCATCCGGCATTTGCAAAGTAATACATAGTCCAATTTGAGTGGAACAAGATTTTTTTCTCTTTATTTTGTCACAAGCAAGTTTTCTAGTGACACTGTTTGATAATTGTCCATCATAAAATTTAGTTCACCCTCAGCCAGTCATTGTTCTTAAATCTGTCTAGGTATGTTTTCAGTCAACAGAGTTTGAGAGTTCAAATAAGACATTTGAGGCTTTAGCTGAGAAACTTGTTTTGCGAGACCTGTACTGATAGCGTGTACTGAGAGACCTTCACTGAGAGACTTGTACTGAGAGACTTGAACTTAGAGCTTGTACAGTATTGAGAGACTTGTACTTAGAGACTTGTGCTGAGAGACTTGTACTTAGAGCTTGTACAGTATTGAGAGACTTGTACTGAGAGACTTGTACTTAGAGCTTGTACAGTACTGAGAGACTTGTACTGAGAGACTTGTACTTAGAGCTTGTACTGAGAGACTTGTACTTAAAGCTTGTACTGAGAGACTTGTATTTGGATTTGGATTTAGAGCTGTACTAAGACTTGTACTCACAGCTGGTACTGAGAGACTTGTACTGAGAGACTTGTACTGAGAGACTTGTACTGAGAGACTTGTATTTGGATTTGGATTTAGAGCTGTACTGAGACTTGTACTCACAGCTTGTACTGAGAGACTTGTACGGAGAGACTTGGATTTAGAGCTTGCACTAAGAAACGTGAACTTAGAGACCTGCACCAAAAGAATTGTACTTAAATTCTTGTACTCAGACCATTGTACTAAGATTTTTGTACTGAGAATCTTGTACTCTGAGACTTTAACACAGATAATGCACTGAGAGTCTTGAACTCAGAGCTTGTACTGAAAGAACTGTACTATGAGAATAGTACTCAAGGACTTGTACTATGAGATTTGTCCTCAAAGACTTGTAGATCTGTACCAAGAAACTTGTGCTGAGACATGTACTGAGAGACCTATATTCAGACAACTACATAGAGACCTTAACTGAGAGACCTATATTCAGACAACTACATAGAGACCTTTACTGAGAGACCTATATTCAGACAATAACATAGAGACCTTTACTGAGAGACCTATATGCAGACAACTACATAGAGACCTTTACTGAGAGACCTATATTCAGACAACTACATAGAGACCTTTACTGAGAGACCTATATTCAGACAACTACATAGAGACCTTTACTGAGAGACTTTTTCTTTTTATGGAGAATCTTGTACTGAAAAACTAATTTCCTGACCTAAGAGACTTTAGAGCTGTACTAATAGAATTAAATGATGTACAAGGGTTGATAGATAGATCATTTTGTCCCCTCAAGGCTGTTTCCTACAGATTAACCACATCATCCTGAGATGTAAACATCTCAGTCTGGATGGTAGACCAACAAGGCAGATCGGAGATACCCCGTTCAGCCTTAAAAAAAACGAACGAACAATCTTTATTTTTAAAGTGTCACAAATTGGGCACACAAGCCTGTCTTACATTCAGCCCTTCCAAACACCCGTCTTTCACACTGCAGTTGTATTTTATTAATAAGCATGTTATGTTCATATGAAAATATGCATATTATGAATATCAAGGAAAAAACACAAAAGCATGGGTGGTAAAATGCATGCACACACTAGCGCACGCATACACAAAAACACATGTCCACCCACTCACTTAAACATGTATATATTACACACCCACATACTTTCACACCCACACACATAAACACACCCCATTCACATACATGCATACCTACCTAGCCACACATACATGTATACCTACCTAGCCACACATACACGCACATTCCACACACATACATACACACATACATACATACATACATACATACACACACATGCACGCACGCACGCACGTGTGTGTGTGTGTGTGTGCGCGCACACACACCCACCCACCCACCCACACCCACACACACACACACACACACACACACACACACACACACACACACACACACACATACATGCATGCATACATTCATACATACATACATACATACATACATACAGATATGTACATGCACACACAGACACACCCAAAGAATCAAAACGCAGACACACACAAACGCACATTTCACACACATACAGATACGCACATGCACACACCCACAGAAACAAATGCAGACACACACACACACCCACACATACGCGCACAGACACAACACACACTTACACACACACACACAGATACCCACACACATGCAGACACACAAACCCGCTGACACACAGACAAAAGAAGTTATAACTAGGGTATCCACAATGGCTACCCTAACCCTGTGTAACCTGCAGTTCTGTGGGGGTAAGCACTGGATGTACTAGGGTAGCTGAGTCATGACTTGTTCAGAATTCAGATTTAACTCTTTCCCTATCAAGCAGTTGTTACTTTAACTCATTACATCCTGAGGAGTTGAGTTTCAGGTACTCACAGTATGAAAACTACATAGAATATTCATCCCTTCCCCTTGGGAACAAAGTTGACTCAGACTGCAGTTTCTTAGTGCGTAGCCTCGAGGCATGGTGTCAGCCTCGAGTGCTAGAGGTTCCGGGTTCAATCTCCGGTATGGGCTGGAATTTTTTTCACATGGATTTGGACTTCTAGTAACCCCCCCCCCCCCCGGTCTCTGGGTAGTGAGATCAGACGGCCCAGTGTATTGTTGCGCACGTAAAAAATCCCTTAGCAGTTGGCTGCCTGAAAAATTTGGAGTTAAAAATCTACGCAGAGTATGGCAGGCTCACCACCGTTGCTACAGAGCCTGTGCACTGTGCTGAGCTTTTTCGCACTCAGACTTGAGTTAAAAGAAGAACGGAGCACATTGTTCAAACGTGCAGTTTCAGCAAATTACAAGCACAATAAATATGAAGAGTCTGGGGCTAGAGATGCAGTTTATCGTTGGAAGCAGTCGTTACAACAGATCAGTATTTGCATATTTGCATAATTTAATTGACTGCATGAAGTACCATAAGCTCTGGCAACAGGCAACTCGCGCATTTTCGGAATCTGCAGTTCACAACACAATCCACAATGGGCGCAGTCGAAAAGCATTTGAAATGAAATCAGCAGCTCACAGTGTTGTGCTGTACACTCAACTCAGTGTCTGGGCATTGTAACTATATCCTTTCAGTCTACATATGAAAGAAAATGCTACAGCTAACTAATGTTGGAAGCAAAAACTTGCCAGCAATAAAAACAGTAAATTGTTTATCACCATATTGAAGCAGAGTTGAGTTTAAAAGCAATAAATACTTTTATCTGAAAGAACTCATCGGCAATACTATAAGGCAAAAATTGGTAATAATTCAGATACAAAGAGTTAACATAGCAAGTATCTGTGATTAAAGACAAAAATAACATCATGCTGTTTTTTGGAAACACGAAGAAACATGTAGTGACTAGTTTGGTACTGAAAGAGTTAACTATGAAAGAAACAGAGAGGGTTTGAACCACACCTGAGGGTGCATTAAGAATGGCCAAGACCAGTTTATACCTCTCAGGTGTCTCTGGAACCAGGTTGCCAACCTGGCAACTGGTCACAGTAGATAGCAATGATTTGTTTACCCCCCTCTGGATTCCGGGGCCCCATTGTGGGGGAAAACAAGAACAGACCCACTGCCTCCCCAACAAGCATGTCGTAAGAGTCGACTAATTAGGGCTTCCTTCAAAGTCTTCGAAGAAGAAGAAGAAGAAGAAGAAGAAGAAGAAGAAGAAGAAGAAGAAGAAGAAGAAGAAGCAGATGAAGAAGAAGAAGAAGAGCTGTGAAAGACCAAAAGACTGCAGCTAAGATTTCCGATATTCGTTTTCTTTTTCAGGGTTCAGTCACATTTCTTGCCATTAGTTTCCTCTGTGTGTTTGTTTACTGTGTGGAACTTTGGCTGACGGCAGAAAACTTTCAAACTCTAGTGGGAGGACAGTCAGCTGCGGCTGATGTCCAGTGGTACCTGGACACTAGTGACCGCTACCTCCATGGGCTTGCCCAGCAACTGACCTTTGAGCTTCATCGCTTGAAGCATCTGTGTGACCATGAAGTAGATATGTTGACAGATATATTCTTTAAAACTGTCAGTTTACAGGTGAGGAGTGTGTTTGTGTGTAGTTGTAAAGAGTAGTATTATTTGTAATATGGGCAGATTAGGCAGCGGTAAAAGACCCCTTTCCATCTGTGAACTGGGAATATAGTAAGTAGGGCGATTCAAGTGTATTTAAGGAGGCATGTACCCCATGATTTGCCAGATCAAATAGTGTGTGTTTTGCTGACTGAGGACACTTTGAATGGCTACGGCATTCACTTGAAGTATCCAGCGTATCTGACTGGAATCTCTTGCATAGGCAGTTGAGCAATTATCGACCAAGCTCGTTTGCTGTGATGCCAGAACCCTAATGACTAACTAACTAACTAACTAACTAACTAACTAACTAACTAACTAACTAACTAACTAACTAACTAACTAACTAACTAACTAACTAACTAACTAACTACTTAACTAACTAACTAACTAACTAACTAACTAACTAACTAACTAACTACCTAACTAACTAACTAACTAACTAACTAACTAACTAACTAACTAACTAGCTACCTAACTACCTAACTAACTAACTAACTAACTAGAGCGATTCAATGATTATGTTTAAGAAAATCCAACCCGGCTTCATCAGACAAGAAAGAATTCTCTCATTAAATGCATTACAAGAAGCTCAAATAACCTTTATTTCTGTGCCGGGCGATGCGGGTGTTCAAGGCAATGAGCATGCAGATTAACTGGGGGAGGAGGGGAGGGAAGGAGGGGTGTCCACGACTGGCCTGGCAAGAGACAGGAGTGATGTCATTAATGCCATGCGAAATGCATATCTTAAAGAAAGATCACGACAACAGTCGATATCCTTGTCCAGGTTGGTAGACATTCGGTGCAAGCTGGGATTTCTAGACATGTACATTTCACGAATGGCACAAGATGTCTGATTAATCAACTCCGAATGGGTGTGATTATTCATTGTACTCTTGTACAGTTATTGAGGAACGAACGAACGAATGAACCAACTTTATTTTCAAAGAGTCACAAACTGGGCACGCAGGCCCGTTTTACATTCGGCCCTTCCAAACATCCATCTTTCACACAGCAGTTGTATTTTATTAATAAAGCATGTTATATTTGTATAATAATATACATATTATGAATATCAAGAAAAAACAAACACAAAAGCATATGTAACAAAATGCATGCACCCACTCACTTACACACACATGCACACAAAAAACCACATACATACACACACGCCGACACACACAAACGTAAACACACAGAAATACACACACAGATAGGCATACACAAAGGCAGACACATACAGAAACTCACGCAGATGCACACGCACACACATACACACATACACAACAAAGACACATACACATATACACAACAAAGACACATACAGACATACACATATACACAACAAAGACACATACAGACATACACATATATACAACAAAGACACATACAGACATACACAACAAAGACACATACAGACATACACAACAAAGACACATACAGACATACACAACAAAGACACATACAGACATACACATGTACACAATAAAGACACATACAGACATACACAACAAAGACACATACATACACAACAAAGACACATACATACACACATACACAACAAAGACACATACAGACATACACATAAACACAACAAAGACACATACAGACATACACATATACACAACAAAGACGCATACAGACATACAGACATACACAACAAAGACACATACAGACATACACATATACACAACAAAGACACATACAGACATACACATATACACAACAAAGACACATACACATATACACAACAAAGACACATACAGACATACACAACAAAGACACATACAGACATACACATATACACAACAAAGACACATACAGACATACATATTACACAACAAAGACACATACAGACATACACATATACACAAAAAAGACACATACAGACATACACAACAAAGACACATACAGACACACACAACAAAGACACATACAGACATACACAACAAAGACACATACAGACATACACAACAAAGACACACACACAAACACAAAAGCCAGCTTATCATCAAGGGTAATCTACCTCGTATTTTCAGACATCAATGTTTACTGCGACTTTGCAAGGTCTTTGCCGTGAAGCCAAAGGAAAGAACTGTGATAAGATTTTAGCCTACCAGTCAACAGGCGGTCGAATAGTCGGCTGCAACTTTCTTCCACTTCAGGCACAGACATTCCACGGTAAGAGCTGACTACACTCCCGCTCCCCTTTTTTTAAAAATCATCTTTCAACAGAATTGTATCCAGTGGTGCTTCCGAGTTAACCTTTATGCCTAATTTTTCTTAAACCAAATACATTTCATAGCAACAGATGGTCTAGCCATCTGAGGAGCAGCAAATGCTTTTAAGAACAATGCTAAAGACATATAAAGTACATGAACAAGAGAAAGACCACATGGAATATGGAATGATGTCATCAAAAGCAAACGTAAACATGAGTTATGAGTTAGGAAATAACATCGTAGTACTCAGGACATTCAATGGCTCGGTCTCTCCACAGTACCAACTCTGACTCAGTCTCTCCACAGTATCAACTCTGGGTCAATCTCTCCACAGTACCAACTCTGGCTCAGTCTCTCCACAGTATTAACTCTGGGTCAATCTCTCCACAACACAAACACTGGGTCAGTCTCTCTACACCACAAACTCTGACTTGATCTCTCTACCACACAAACTCTGGGTCAATCTCTCCACCACACAAACTCTGGGTCAATATCTCCACCACACAAATTCTGACTTGATCTCTCCACCACACAAACTCTGACTTGATCTCTCCACAACACAAACTCTGACTTGATCTCACTACCACACAAACTCTGACTTGATCTCTCCACAACACAAACTCTGACTTGATCTCTCTACCACACAAACTCTGACTTGATCTCTCCACAACACAAACTCTGACTTGATCTCTCCACAACACAAACTCTGGGTCAATCTCTCTACAACACAAACTCTGACTTGATCTTTCCACAACACAAACTCTGACTTGATCTCTCCACAACACAAACTCTGGGTCAATCTCTCCACAACACAAACACTGGGTCAGTCTCTCTACACCACAAACTCTGACTTGATCTCTCTACCACACAAACTCTGGGTCAATCTCTCCACCACACAAACTCTGGGTCAATATCTCCACCACACAAATTCTGACTTGATCTCTCCACCACACAAACTCTGACTTGATCTCTCTACACCACAAACTCTGACTTGATCTCTCCACCACACAAACTCTGGGTCAATCTCTCTACCACACAAACTCTGGGTCAATCTCTCTACCACACAAACTCTGGGTCAATATCTCCACCACACAAACTCTGTCTTGATCTCTCCACCACACAAACTCTGACTTGATCTCTCTACACCATAAACTCTGACTTGATTTCTCCACAACACAAACTATGGGTCAGTCTCTCCACAACAAAAACTCTGGGTCAGTCTCTCCACAACAAAAACTCTGGGTCAGTCTCTCCACAGCACAAACTCTGACTTGATCTCCCCACAACACAAACTATAAATTTCTAACAAAAATCCCCACGACTTTCCAGCAACAACAGCATTTGCACTCAAGAACTGAACGATGCAGTCAATGAAACAAATCCACAGTTTTCAGAGCTTGAAGCAAATATCTTGACCATTTTGTTATGGAGACCAAAAAACTCTTCTCTTATCCCGTTTTACTGGAACCTCTTATTACTTACCATGGGTTGAAATAACATAGTTCTGTTTTCAATGTTGCTGTGTACATCTGTCACGTATCAGCTAATCACACATATGTATGCTTATTATGTATTTATTTTAAAATTGTGGTGCCTTTATCTGTGATTGAACAACAAGTGACATATCTGTGATTGAACAACAAGTGACATATCTGTGATTGAACAACAAGTGACATATCTGTGATTGAACAACAAGTGACATATCTGTGATTGAACAACAAGTGACATATCTGTGATTGAACAACAAGTGACATATCTGTGATTTAACAACAAGTGACATATGTGTGATTTAACAACAAGTGACATATGTGTGATTTAACAACAAGTGACATATGTGTGATTTAACAACAAGTGACATATCTGTGATTGAGCAACAAGTGACATATCTGTGATTGAACAACAAGTGACATATCTGTGATTGAACAACAAGTGACATATCTGTGATTGAACAACAAGTGACATATCTGTGATTGAGCAACAAGTGACATATCTGTGATTGAACAACAAGTGACATATCTGTGATTGAGCAACAAGTGACATATCTGTGATTGAACAACAAGTGACATATCTGTGATTGAACAACAAGTGACATATCTGTGATTGAACAACAAGTGACATATCTGTGATTGAACAACAAGTGACATATCTGTGATTGAGCAACAAGTGACATATCTGTGATTGAACAACAAGTGACATATCTGTGATTGAACAACAAGTGACATATCTGTGATTGAACAACAAGTGACATATCTGTGATTGAACAACAAGTGACATATCTGTGATTGAACAACAAGTGACATATCTGTGATTGAACAACAAGTGACATATCTGTGATTGAACAACAAGTGACATATCTGTGATTGAACAACAAGTGACATATCTGTGATTGAACAACAAGTGACATATCTGTGATTGAACAACAAGTGACATATCTGTGATTTAACAACAAGTGACATATCTGTGATTGAACAACAAGTGACATATCTGTGATTGAACAACAAGTGACATATCTGTGATTTAACAACAAGTGACATATCTGTGATTGAACAACAAGTGACATATCTGTGATTGAACAACAAGTGACATATCTGTGATTGAACAACAAGTGACATATCTGTGATTGAACAACAAGTGACATATCTGTGATTGAGCAACAAGTGACATATCTGTGATTGAGCAACAAGTGACATATCTGTGATTGAGCAACAAGTGACATATGTGTGATTGAACAACAAGTGACATATGTGTGATTTAACAACAAGTGACATATCTGTGATTTAACAACAAGTGACATATCTGTGATTGAACAACAAGTGACATATCTGTGATTTAACAACAAGTGACATATCTGTGATTGAACAACAAGTGACATATGTGTGATTTAACAACAAGTGACATATCTGTGATTTAACAACAAGTGACATATGTGTATATTAATTTAATTTCCTGCATCTGTATTTACAGATCTGAGCTTATCCCACATGGAGTCCATTGTTGCCAGGGAGGTAACTCCTCTGGTGAATCTATCTCATCGCATGCTGGCAGGTTTAGCTTCGGTCGTTGTTGCCCTTCTCTGTTGCCGGTTACTCTGCCAGGCTTCAGCATCCACAGTAAGACATTTTCTGCTAGTGACTGGTCGACTGCCTCGAGTTCGAGTCTATCAGTCTGAAGAACCACAAGTTACGAACCCTGGGCCAGGTAGCAACACCATGCAGCGGAGTCAGTCATGGGTGGACAGCTGCGAAAGTGGCGTGTATCTCGGTGAAGTCGACGATTCAAACAAAGATGAGAATAGATAGCGATTATTTCTACTTTTGTTTAGTGATCGTAACATTACCAGTAACTCTGAAGATGTGTGGCTGTAGTTATTTTCTTTTTACCCTGATAATGTAGTCACATTTTTATTCATCAAAATTTTGAAAATAAAATCCTCAGGAATAATTTAGCACATAATCTATTGATCAATTAATATTTCATCCCATGCTGATGATAATGAAGAATAAGAGATTTACTGCCATTCTTAAATTTAAATACAAAATAAAAATAGGAAACTGAAAATATACAACTATTTTCTTAATTTGATAAAATATTTTGCAATTTTAAATTCTTATATTATGTTCATATAATATACCTTGAAAGTATGATCTTAAACATGATGTATTTTTAAAATATAATGTTTGAACATGTCCTGATGATAGGTTTGTGGTAGCCCCTTAAATCTTTAATTATTAGACAGGAGATTTATGGTAGTCACTTAACTCTTTCATTACTAGACAGGATGTTTATGGTAGCCACTTAATTCTTTCATTACTAGGCAGGAGATTTATGGTAGCCACTTAACTCTTTCATTACTAGAAAGGATGTTTATGGTAGCCGCTTAATTCTTTCATTACGAGGCAGGAGATTTAAAGTAGCTGCTAAATTATTTCATTACCAGGCACAAGATTTAGGGTAGCCACTTAACTCTTTCATTACTAGGCAGGAGATTTATAGTAGGCACTTGATTCTTTTATTACTAGGCAGAAGGTTTATGGTAGCCGCCTAATTCTTTCATTACTAGACAAGAGATTTATGGTAGCCTCTTATCTCTTTAATTACTAGGCAGAAGATTTATGGTAGCCACTGAACTCTCTCATTACTATGCAGGAGATTTATGGTAGCGACTTGACTCTTTCATTACTTGGTAGGAGATTTATGTTAGCCACTTAACTCTTTTATCACTAGGCAGAAGGTGTAAGGTAGCTGCCTAATTCTTTCATTTCTAGACAGGAGATTTATGATAACCACTTTTTCATTACTAGGATGAGATTTATGGTAGCCACTAAACTCTTTCATTACTAGACAGGAGATTTATGGTAGCTGCTTAATTCTCTCATTACTAGACAGGAGATTTATGGTAGCTGCTTAATTCTCTCATTACTAGACAGGAGATTTATGGAAGCCACTTAACTCGTTCATTGCTAGACAGGAGATTTATGGTAGCCACTCAACTCTTTTCATTATTAGACAGGAGATTTATGGTAGCCACTTAATTCTTTCATCAATAGACAGGATATTTATGGTAGCCACTCAACTCTTTCATTACTAGACAGGAGATTTATGGTAATGACTTAACTCTTTCATTACTAGAAGGAGGATTATGATAGTTACTTAACTCTTTCAGTGTCATGTAGGAGGTTTATTATATTTTCTTGAATCTTTCAGTATCAGGAAGGAGGCTTATGATTGCCTCTTAGCTTTTTCAGAATCAGATAGGAGGTTTATGATAGTTACCTAACAATTTCAGTATAAGGTAGGAGGCCTATGATAGCCACTTAACTCTTTCAGTATCAGATAAGAGGTTTGTGATAGCCACTCAACTCTTTCAGTATCAGGTAGAAGGTTTATGATAGTTACTTAACTCTTTCAGTATCGGATAGGAGGTTTATGATATTTACTGAACTCTTTCAGTCTCAGGTA